ATAAGTACAATAGTAAGTTAACAATACTGCATATAAGTACAATAGTAAGTTAACAATACTGCATATAAGTACAATAGTAAGATTAACAATACTGCATATAAGTACAAGAGCAAGATTGTTAGTAACCAATATAGTTAAATTGTTGCTAAGATATGTAGGTTAACAAGATATGTAGGTCGATCATTTAGCCCATTTTTACGATTTTAAAAAACTTCTAAATAGTTTATCCCATTCCACACACTTTCTGCATTTGCAGGTGTTCGTACGCCTATTTGTGGATGAAAATCTCGACCGCTTGGTTCCAATTTCACGTCAACCGAAGGAGAAAATCCAGGCGATTATCGATTCGTGCACTCGACAGTTTCCGGAATTCTCCGAGAGAGCCCGAAAAAGAATACGAACGTATCTAAAGTGTTGTCGAAGAACGAAGCGTGCACGTGATAAGAATGGATGGGATGGGGTAAGTTTAGAATTAAACCTGTTTATTTACTCAAATATTCATGTTTATAAGTCTTAGAGACATATTTAGTTATTATTTAAATATATATCGACTTAAAGGAGACACAAGTTGCTAGATGGATTTTATTATCATATTAATTATTCTAAACATAAATCAATAAGAAATGGTCAGCAAAACAGTGGGTAAAGTTCCATTATTGTAACCTTTACTGCTAGTGAGGTCTACATATTACAACATTTAGCACCAAAAACCGACCAAACCAATATAGTTCCATTTGTTCTACTGTAACATAGATTTACTTTTATGTAAACAGCACGGCAAGTTTACTGAGTGTGCACAAGTTTAACGATTATAATTTAAAGTATGCATTACAGTTATTTAACAAGTTAAATAATATATAAAAATCCATTCCCATTAGTATAACAAAAAACAATAGCATGTAGTTTTGATACAGATCTCTGTGAAACACAGGTCAGGAAAACAAATCATGTAGTTTTGATACAGATCTCTGTTACATGATTTGTTTTCCTGTCGAGGGAATTTTAATTAGCTTGCTTTTTAAAATCATTAAAGGATAAAGTTTATAAAATCAGTTTGAAATCAAAAACTTCGTAGATGACAAATGGCGCAGATGGAAATTACTAGATCTGTGTTTTCGAAGTGTCCGTTGAAAATGAAGATCAATTCATACATATGTAAACGGTTTTGAATGTGCCTTATTATGAATATTCCTGTGTATCAATCTAACATCTTTTGGCATTCCAATGAATCCCCGAGTATTAAATTTCTCACCTTTTATGTTTTGTTTTCATTTGTCTCAACCTAGGATCGATCTACACCCCATTTGTCGTCCCCATTGGCTGAACAAATTCTGACAGTTGCGTGTGAAAATGAGAGTCATAACGTCAAGAGAATGCGGTTAGGCCTAAAACCCATATCCGTTTCATTGGTAATCCTTGTTTTGTATTATCGCTGCTTCAAGAAGTTATAAATTCATATCACTTGGAAGTGTACCTTTAAAGACAAAAGAACGACGAATTATTTCTTGTATTGTTTTCACATTTATGCCTCCTACACACCTCCTGTTTGAATTTTCTTTAATCGAGAGTGACACACTTACACTACAATTTGAACAAAAGAAAATATAACTAAAACCTTTCTTGTTTTGTGTATTTGTTGATAAATAAACACAGTGACATAGGCCTTAAATAGAAAGATTTACAAAAAAGGACGTTATCACAGTAAACATAGTTGAAGAGTGATTTGATGATAAGCCTTATGTTTTACCAGTGATCAGTTTAAACAGACAAATGATGGTTTGAAAAATAAGTTCAAGAATCTTATATGCAGAGGAGAAATTTCCCAAAACTGAAAAAAAAATTTTAAATTTTCTTTCGCCAAAAATTTACTAGTTGAAATTAAAGAGCTATGAGAAAGCTACAGAATTTACACTCACAAATCCAGATTTTTCGAAGTGGTGTTCGGAATGGTAGGGCAATGAGGTAATATGATAATAATATATATATATATATATATATATATATATA